ATCTGAGATGGTGGCAACGGCGCAAGGCTGCTCGACGGCGGCGCGCTCGCTATCTTTAGAAAATATGGGAAGATCTAGGGGAGCATGGTTTGTAGAGGTATGTAGAGACCTAAGACTTGAAGAGAAGCGAGACTACGTGCCCACTTCAGTGATTCAAAACAACGAATTTCTCGATACCTATTGATGTTGTATGACTTATACAACACCTGTTGTTGGCTCTTCGAAGAAGATGAATAATGTAAACAAGGATCTTGTGATACAGGAGCCTGTAGAATCAATTGCCTCTTGGCAATGAAGAGCAACAATAGCCCCATATGAAAGTGCCAGTAGCTGAGGCCCCAGAAGGTCTCAAAGAATTAGTAAACTAGTTTTCTAATGACTATGAAGTCTATGTTAGTGAAGAAATTCAAATAGAGGGTGATTCCCACCTCATTTGAAGAAGCCATGAGAAGCGTTTACTCGTTTGAATGGCAAGAAGCTATGGAAGTTGAAATGAATTCGATGAATACCAACAATGTTTGGGACTTAGAAGAATTCCTAATGGAGCCAAAACAGTAGGCGGTGAATGGGTCTACAAGACAAAATGTGACTCCAAAGGGAATGTGCAAAGATATAAAGCATGAATTGTAGAAAAAGGCTTTACGCAAAGAGACTGAATAGATTACGATGAGAGTTTTCTCTCTAGTCTCATGCAAGGATTCTTTTAGAATCATAATGGTGTTATTGGTGCATTACGATTTAGAGTTACATCAGATGGATGTAAAGACGACATTCCTCAATGGGGATTTGCATGAAAATGTTTACATGGCACAACCCAAAGGTTTTGTCGTGGAAGAAAAAATAATGTATGGGTTGCCGCTTGTAGAAATCCATTTATGGGTTAAAACAAGTCTCTAAACAGTAGTATTTGAAGTTGATGAAATGATAAGAAAGTTTGGGTTTTAAAGAAAATGAGAAGGACAATAGCATTTATGCGAAGTTCAAGAATTGAAAATTCATTTTCCACATCCTGTGAATAGATGACATTCTACTCACTAGTAGTGATGTTAATCTGTCATTGGAGAAGAAGTTTTGTCCTCAAGTTTCAATGTGAATGATCTTGGTGAAGCGTCATTGGTTCTAGGAATCAAAATTCACCGAGATAGAAGAAAATGAGGTATTAGGACTATCGCAAAGGCATACTTAGAAAAGATTCTAAAGAAATAAAGTATACATGCGAGTAAACCTACACCTGCTCCTATAGTCAAGGGTAATAGATTTGGGAATTTTCAGTGTTCCAGGAACCGATATGAGATCGATCAAATGAACATGGTTCCATATGCTTCAGCTGTTGGAAGCTTAATGAATGTACAAGTAAGAACTTACTTTGACGTAGCTTACTTATCCGGGATATTTTAGCAGAAGTCCAGTCCAGATATAGATCACTGGAATGGAGTTGAGAATATCTTGCAATTTTGCAAAGTATCATAGGCCTCATGCTGAGTAAGAAAGAACAAGTACTCTCAAATAGTTGAGGGTATAAATGTTAAGTCTTAGCGAGATGTGTAGTGAAATCCACAGTAGTTGTTAACACTCGCAGTTAGAGTATTATTGTGGAAAAGCTCCAAAGAAACAATTGTGGTGTCATCAATGATGCATACCATAGAATAGCTTGTCATGAGGCTTCAGGAACAGGTAAAAGGTTGTTAAGGGAATATGTACCCGGATTTAACAATGGTAGACAACAGCAATAACCATTTAAAGTAGTTAACTCCTAAGACAACATGTCAAGTGTGCTGCCAAACACATTGACATTAAGTTATATGTTGTAAAGGAGAAAATCCAGAATAATTTTGAAAGCATTGAGCATATGAGTACTTGCGGATCCGCTTACCAAAGGCTAACCACCCAGTGCGTTCAGAGAACACACAGTCGACATGGATTTACAGGAAAGCCTATAATTTCTGGATACTGAGGGACTAGTTGAGAATCTGTTTCAAAATAGAGCAGTGCATTGTAACTGTTAAATCTAATGGCAACTGACCGTGACGATGAGACACGCTCTATGCACTGATCTGTGATGAAATGGGAAAAAAGGTAGAGAAGTTAAGTATAAGACAAGGTGAGATCAAAGGGGAGAATGTTAGGTTGATCGCCACCAATTTGGCCCAACGGCCAATTGGGCCCTTGACTCGCGCCCTGATCGAGGGCGTCTAGCCGCTCTCCTGGCTGGTGGCCCCCCGTCGCGCAGCGCTATGTAAAGGAGGTGGGAGCTGGGGCTTGACACACGAGGTTCACCACAGCCGCTAGCGCCCCACCATGTCCTAACCCTAGTCCGATCGAGAGGGGCGCTATAAGCGACGGAAAGCTCCATTGCCTTCGCCGCCGCCACAGCACCGCGCCTGCACTGATGCTACCTACGACGACCTAGCGGGCGCATCACGGTTTCCCCTACTATGACTCTAGTGGCCAAGTCGCGGTGGCGCCGTGGCCGTGACTGCGCATGGCGAGGTACATCACCGAAATCTCCCATCTAAGTTAAGTTTATCCCCTAATCTACGATTCTAGAGGTCCTATTGTCTATCAAGGCCCACAAGTTGGATAAACATCCAACCGACGCACAAAAAAATATTTCATACTTTAATATTACATTAGGTGCATGCCTGACCCCGCGCCGCTTGCTCCTCGCTCTCGCCCGTCATGCGCCGCACCTGCGCCACTCACTCCTCGCTCCCACCCATCGCGCGCCCCACCCGCACCGCTCGCTCCTCGCTCTTGCCCGTGCGCCGTCTGCTCCCTCTCGTAGCACACACCGCCCGCTCAGCCGAGCCAAGGGGCGGTACTGGTGGTGGTTGTGCTCGGGCGCCGCCCGATCCCACCCCGGCGACCGGAATCAACCGGCCCCGACCTTCCCCTCCCCTATATTGCAAATGTTTCATGTGTTTCAGAGGTATGATGCAATTGCTTCATATGGATGTTGCAAAATTAGATCAGGATGTTGCAAGTGTTTCAGAGGTATGTTGCAAGAGTTTGTTCAAAATGTTTCATCTGTTTCATATATATGTTGCAAAATGTTTTATCTGCATGTTCAATATGTTACAATGGCTATGTTGCAAGTATATGTTTCAAATGTTTCATCTATCTCAGTCGTATGTTAAAATTATTTTATCTGAGTGTTGCAAAAGTAGATCTCAATATAGGGTGGTCGAGCAAGAAAGAGAGAGTGCTAGCACCGGAGCCATGGCTGCATTGGCTGTAAGCGCGCAGCGCTCCACCGGAGGACGCGTTGACATCTGCACTGGCATAAGTGGCCCTGGGTGGGTCCTCATCGCGCTGCTCCTGATCAATGGCCTGCTCGTCTATGTCATCGCCGTCGCGCGAGAGCCATCACGGCGTGGTGATGCGGGTGCCGCAGGTGGGCTCTCGTATTACACGGGCACGGCGGACGCGCGGGGACAAGACAGGGCGCGACAGGTGCGTCGAACGGGAGCTGCATCCGAACACGGGTCTAGTGGGGCCGGACGTCCGGGCGCTAGCCTTACCATTTTCCAGAACGACCGACACAAAAGAGTGAATGAAGCTAAACTGAATAGCACGCTAATTAAAGTCTTGAATGGATGTGTATGGGAGATTTTCCAAAACGACACACACAAAAGAATGCGTGAATGAAGCTAAACTGAATAACACACTAATTCCTCTAAAAAAAAGAATAACACACTAATTAAAGTCTTGAATGCGATAAATCTGATGAAAGATAGCATGGGTTTGGAATCCATCCATGCCCTACTCGGCTGTGTCCACCTCGGCCAGGTTGGTCTCGAACACTTTCACGAGGTTCTCGATGTAGTGCCGCGTCACCTGGGTGAGGCTCTGAAGCTTCTTCTTGTAGCCTGGCTCTTGTACCTCTCGGCGACGTCGGACGCGTCGCCGGCGCAGAGCTGCTTCCTCTCCACCTCGGCGCAGCCGTGCAGACGCTCCAGCGAACTGTTGGCGTCCTTCTGGAGTTGTCGAACAGGTTGCGCTTGATGGCGTCGCGCTTGGGGTCCAGGAAGTAGCCGTACGCGTGCGCCCACCGCAGGACTCGCCAGCAGTCGGCGACCTGCTCGTACGCCTTGGTCAGGAACCTCAGATCGCTGGCCGGGATGCGCACCTTGACCGCCATCTTCTCCAGCCCCTTGCGCTCCAGGTCGGCCATGTCCTTGAAAACCTTCTGCAGCGACGTATGGTTGGCCGCCCAGCGCTCGTAGTGGTACAGGTACCTGTCCAACGAAGCCTTGGCTTGCTCCCGCCGTCGCTCGTCCTTGCCGCCGGCGTTGACCTTGCCCGGACGCGCCCGGTAGCTACCGCACTCACATGGTCCCAGGCAGATCCAACAGAACTGGTGGTACCAGGGGGCGCTGCACGTCATGTGGTTGCACCCCTGGTTCTTCTCGATCGGCCGCCGACACTTGGGGCAGTGCTTGGTGTTGGTCAGCACCCAGTTCGCCGTCTCTGAGTCGGAGACGTTCTTGGCCAGCCACGCTCGCACCGTGTCGCACGACACCGGCCGGTGCGCCTCCTCGCCGCAGCTCCAGCAGAATCCGTGCGTGCACTCACAGAACACGTCCGTCGTGTCGCCGGCGCAGCCAACGAACTCCACGGCGCGCGAACACCCGCGTCCCGGGCACCACTTGATCCTGCCGCCGCTCTCGTCCACGAGCGACCAGAGCGTGAAACGCGCGTACCGGGCCTTGTCCTCGGCGGCGGCTGCCACCTTGTCGACCAGCTCTTGCACGACGGCCGCCGAGCACGACGGGTCCGGGCACCGCAGCGACAGGCACCGCGGGCCTGTTATTCAGTGTCATTCAGTAATCGTTGTCAGAGTTTTAAGTCTTAACGTGCTCAGTCATATAGATGCATTAGGCAGTGACATTAGTTGTTTGAGTTGTGTAACAACCATCACGTTTTGTAAGCATAGAACTAGGACGGGTTGCAGATGTGCACGATCGCGTCCTAGCCGCAGAAGATGGAGTCACCCCGTCATGGCCGCGGTCTATGCATGTCGCATGGTCACCGAGAATAACGGTGAGCCGTGCAGTCGTGGAACCGTGATGGGGTGGGGGGCGAAAGCCCGTGTATCCATAAGATCAGTCAATGCATCCAAAGGCGCTGCGCTTCGCAGTGTGAAACTCCCTGTGTTCATCGTCTCCCTTGCGCTCTCTCTCTCTCTCGCGGTGTGCGCGGTCACCACCTGCCGGTGTCGCGTCGTCACCGAGCTCCTCGCCGGAGCGTCGGTTCCAACATTCTGGTATCGGAGCCGGTTTATGTACGCAGGTGGATCCATCAGTCCGCCGCGTGAACCACCGAGGAAAGTGAGAGTGATCCCGAGGAGATCGGCGCCGGAGAAGATGACTGGAGAAGGGACATCAAGCTCTGGATCCGGCGTCAAGGAAAGTTCGCTGGTTTGGCCCATGCTGGATCGAGCGAACTACGCCGAGTGGGTGATGATCATGCAGTGCAATCTGGAGGCGTTGGAGATCTGGCATGCGATCGATCCAGGCACCAACGTGAAGCGCGCGCATGATCGTCAGGCCATGGCGGCGCTCCTGCGTTCTGTGCCGCGCGACATGTGGCAGATGCTGGGGCGGAAGAAGACGATGAAGGAGGCCTGGGAGGCGGTTGAGACAATGTGTCTCGGCGCTGATCAGGTCAAGGAGGTGAAGGCCTAGAGGCTCTTGCGCGAGTTCGAGAACATCGCCTTCAAGGAGGGCGAATCAATTGATGAATTCGGCATGAGGATCTCAAATCTTGCCGCAGAACTCAAGACCATGGGGGAGACAGTGGAGGATTCGCGCGTGATCAAGAAGTTTCTACGCATGGTTCCTTCACGTTTTAGCCCGGTGGTCGTCTCAATCGAGATGTTCTGCGACATGAAGAAAATGAATGTGGAGGAGCTAGTGGGGCGGCTGCGCGCGGCGGAGGAACGTCTCGACGACAAGGTTGAGCACACCGTCGACAGGATGGGCCGTCTCATGCTGGCCGAGGAGGACTGGCTGGAGAAGCATAAGCACCGCTTCGTCCAAGGCCCCAAAGACGGCGGCGGCGGCTCCAGCGGTGGCGCATCCAGTGGCGGCCACGGCGGTCATGGCGGCCGTAGTGGTCACCACAAAGGCAAGGCGGCGGCGCACTCTGATGGCGGCGGCTCGGGGGGGCCAAGTATGGGCTCACTTCTGAGGGCACGCCAAGGCGAAAGGGGCGGTGCCGTAATTGCAACATTTACGGGCACTGGGAGCAGGATTGCAAGCGCCTGAAGAAAGAAAAGAAGAAGGAGCAGAAGCAGCCGGAGGTGAACGTTGCTGTCGGTGGAGCAGAGCCTAGAGCGCTCATGTTGGCGTCATGTGACGTTGACGTCGTGCGCCGGCCAACACAGACCATGCACCTGTCGGAGAAGGTGACCCCGGTGCTTGTTCCAGAGGGCGTGTGGGTGCTGGACACTGGGGCCAGCAATCACATGACTGGCACCAAGTCAGCACTCATGTAGCTGGATGAAGGCGTGTGTGGAACAGTGCGTTTCGGCGATGGCTCCAGTGTCAACATCGAGGGCATTGGATCCATGGTGATGGAGGATAGCCAGTCTGCTCATAAGGTACTGACCGAGGTTTATTACATCCCCAAACTCAAAAGTAACATCATCAGTCTTGGTCAGTTAGAAGAAAAGGGTTTTGCGGTAACCATGGGGAATGGGAGGCTATGTGTGTTTGATCAGGGGGGGAAATTGTTGATTTCTGCTCCTAGGACAGCAAACAGACTCTACTTAGCAAAGTTTCAGTTATCATCTCCAATCTGTTTATTTGCACACTCTGAAGATGCATCATGGAAATGGCATGCTAGATTTGGGCATTTGAATTTTAAGTCATTAAATGATCTTGGTGCAAAGAAAATGGCAGAGGGAATACCAATTGTTAGTAGAGTGGATAAGATCTGTGATGGTTGTGTTATTGGGAAGCAACATAGAAAGCCATTCCCACAATTGACAAAATTCAGAGCTACAAAAGGGCTAGAACTTGTGCATGCAGATTTGTGTGGGCAAATTACTCCTAAGTCACTAGGAGGTGCATCTTATTTTCTGCTGGTGGTAGATGACTACAGCAGATATATGTGGGTGGAATTGCTCAAAACAAAAGACCAAGCCTTAGAGTGTTTTAAGAAGATTAAAGCTAGGGCTGAGGTTGAATCTGATGGCAAGCTCAAGGCACTAAGAACAGATAGAGGTGGGGAGTTCACTTCTAATTTGTTCACCCTTTTCTGCAATGAGGGTGGGATCAAGCACTATACCACTACTCCTTACTCTCCCCAGCAGAATGGGGTGGTTGAAAGAAGGAATCAAACAGTGGTTGAAATGGCCAGATGCATGATGAAGGCAATGCAGGTTCCATCTAGTTTTTGGGGAGAAGCAGTGTGCACTGCAGTCTATATGTTGAATAGAGCTTCAACCAAAGCCTTGAACAACATTACTCCATTTGAGGCTTGGCATGGGAGAAAACCTAGTGTGGCACACCTAAAGGTTTTTGGTTGTACTGCAAGTGTGAAGCTGGTTGGTCCAAACCTGACAAAACTGTCAAACAGATCAAGAAAAATGATCTTCATTGGCTATGAATCAGGAACTAAGGGATACAGGTTCTATGATCCCTCTACTGCAAAACTTGTGGTGAGTAGGGATGTGTTGTTCAGTGAAAATGAGCCATGGACTTGGACAAATGCAGATGGCAGTGCAGCACAACTGACAGACAATTTTACAGTGGAGTATGAATTGCCTGACAGAAATCCGACAACAGCTGGAAATGCTGATGAACTGCAGCAACCTGCAGAGAATGTGATGCAGCAGGATCCAGTTGGTCAGGGGGGTGATGTGCCATTACCACACTCTCCACATACACCAGAGTCAGCTCCATCTCAAAATCAAGGGTGGGAGATACCATCAGCTCAAACCTCTGGCCCTGTTAGGTTCAAAACACTGACAGATTTGTTTGAGCAAACTGATGTCATCACTGATTTTGAGTACAGTGGTGTGTGCATGTTAGCAGCAGATGAACCAACTAATATTGAGCAAGCTCTATAAGAAAAATGTTGGAGAGAAGCAATGGATGCAGAAATGCAGTCAATTATTCAGAACAAGACTTGGGAATTGAGTGACTTGCCTAAAGATCACAAAGCAATAGGCCTAAAATGGGTTTTCAAAGTTAAGAGAGATCCTGATGGGAATATTGTAAAGCATAAGGCAAGGCTGGTAGCTAAGGGATATGCTCTAGCTGCCCAAGGGGAATGGGAAGTGCACCATTTGGATGTAAAATCTGCTTTTCTGAATGGTGAGCTTCTTGAAGAAGTATATGTGCAACATCCACCTGGTTACTCTGACCCAAAGTCACATGGCAAGGTTCTGAAGCTAAGGAAAGCACTGTATGGCCTCAAGCAAGCTCCTAGAGCCTGGAATGCCAGACTTGATCAAGAATTGTATAAGTTGGGATTTGTGAGAAGTGTTGAAGAACATGCTGTCTACAGGAGAGGTTCAGGAGGGTCACTACTACTTGTTGGGGTTTATGTAGATGACCTGATCATCTGTGGGCTAGATAGCAAGCAAATTGCTACATTCAAGCAACAGATGAAGAGAAGTTTCAATATGAGTGATCTTGGCTTACTCAGCTACTATCTAGGGCTGGAAGTGAAGCAGAAGCCAGGAGACATCAAGATCTGTCAAAGTGCTTATGCTCAGAAAATTGTTGAGATGGCTGGGATGAAAGGATGTAACCCAGTAGACACTCCAATGGAACAGCACATCAAGTTGTTGCCTGGCAAGCCTGAGCTAGTGTCAAATGCAACAAAATTCAGAAGTATTGTGGGCAGTCTCAGATATTTGGTGAACTCAAGGCCTGACTTGGCTTTCTCTGTTGGAATGGTGAGCAGGTTTATGGAGTCACCAAACTCTGAGCATTGGGCAGCAATCAAAAGGATCATCAGATATGTTGCAGGAACCACAGAGCTTGGCTGCAAGTTTGTCAAAGGGAAAAATTCAGAGTTGCTTGGCTACACTGACAGTGACCATGCAGGAGACATAGAAAAGAGGAAAAGTACTACGGGCATTGCTTTCTTTCTGGGTGGTAATCTTGTCACTTGGAGTTCTCAGAAGCAAAGGGTGGTCTCTTTATCATCATGTGAATCAGAGTATATTGCTGCTGCTACTGGTGCTTGTCAGGGGGTTTGGTTGAGCAGGTTGCTAGCTGATCTGACCTATACTGATGTCAAAAGGTTCAGGTTGCTGATTGACAGTAGATCTGTAGAAGAGCTGAGCAGGAACCCAGTCTATCATGAGAGGACTAAGCACATTGATACAAGATATCATTTCATCAGGGAATGTGTCTCTGATGGTGTGGTTGAACTAGAACATGTGAGCACTGACGACCAACTAGCTAATATTCTGACAAAACCATTGGGCAGGATCAGGTTTGCAGAGATGAGAAGGCAGTTGGGCATAGTGAAGGTCTGACAAGATTAAGGGGGTGATTTGTTATTCAGTGTCATTCAGTAATCGTTGTCAGAGTTTTAAGTCTTAGCGTGTTCAGTCATATAGATGCATTAGGCATGACATTAGTTGTTTGAGTTGTGTAACAACCATCACGTTTTGTAAGCGTAGAACTAGGACAGGTAGCAGATGTGCACGATCACGTCCTAGCCGCAGAAGACGGAGTCATCCCCGTCATGGCCGCGGTCTATGCATGTCGCATGGTCACCGAGAATAACGGTGAGCCGTGCAGTCGTGGAACCGTGACGGGGTGGGGGGCGAAAGCCCGTGTATCCATAAGATCAGTCAATGCATCCAAAGGCGCTGCGCTTCGCAGTGTGAAACTCCCTGTGTTCATCGTCTCCCTTGCGCTCTCTCTCTCTCTCTCGCGGTGTGCGCGGTCACCACCTGCCGGTGTCGCGTCGTCACCGAGCTCCTCGCCGGAGCGTCGGTTCCAACAGGGCCGTCCTCCACCGCCGCGCGGATGTACCCGCGCCAGCACTCGTCGCAGTAGAAGTCGGTGGAGCACACCGCGGACCTCGCCCGGCCGGCGGGGAACCATCTGAAGCAGATCGCGCAGATGAGGCGCTTGCGGCTGAGCGCCGTGGGCACGAGGACGACGCCGTCCGCCGGTAGGCCGACGGCGTGGCGGATGCGCCGGTCGTCGGAGAACCATTCCTCCTAGACACGCATCGCTCGCCACTTGTAGTGCCGCAGCACGACGACGGCGACACCCGGCGGGACGGACAACACATCGGCGACCTCGGCGATGTCCGCTTCCTGCCGCGCACGGATAGCATCCTGGCTCCGAACGATGTACCTCTCCTCGGCGCGTTCGATCGCCTCGGTGCCGTCGACCTCAGTCTCCTCGTCATCGTCGCTGCGGTGCAGTCGCCGTTGTCGTCGATCTCGTCACCGTTTATGTTGTAATCTCCCGTGCCGTTGCGGCGCCGGTCTCGCCATCATTGTAGTCCTCGTCAAACCGGCGTCTCTTGCCGGCGCCGATCTCGCCATCACCGTAGTCGTCCTCGTCTACCCGACATCTCTTGACGGCGCCAAACTCGCCATCGCCGTAGTCCGTGACCTCGTCAACCCGGCATCTCTTGCTGGCGCCATTCTCGCCATCGCCGTCTCTGCTTCTCTTCTTCCTGACGGCGGCGGCCCTTACCGCCT